ACATTTTGCAATGCATTGAATGCTATCTTAGTATCAATACTATTATACAACCTAAGTAGCAATGATTAATTTTAACTTTTTTTAAACATTTATTTTTTAAGTTACAGGTGGACACAATATCTTTATTTATTTATTTATTTATTTATTTATTTATTTATGCATTGCCGAGGATCAAACCCAGCGCCTCATGCATATTAGGTGAGTGCTCTACCTCTGAGCCACAACCTCAGCCCTAATTTTAACTTTTCACAAAGGAATCAATTTAAGCCAACAGGTAACAAGATTTCTAATGAGCTGATGGAGTCAATATCTTATTTATTGTTCTCTTCTCATATGAAACGAGAAAACTTCTGAGTTTTTCTCTTCCTCGTTTATCATTCTCTAAAATGTTGACATGTAACATACTTCTCTTACATAAGTGACCTTTAGGAGGAGCTAATATTTATAATAATCATCAAATCAATGGAATATATGAGTCCACTATTTTCCTAGCTTGCTTTCAAGATTTTTTTCCTTCATTTTTATTCCATGCATCATTATTTTTTTTTCCTATAACTTTTCAAAGCCAGCTTATGGTTGATTTTTTTTTTTTTAAGTCCTGGGGATTGAATCCAGGTCCTCAAGCACGCCAGGCAAGCACGCCTCATTGAGCCACATCCCCAGATCCTTGTTATTATTTTTTTAATTTAGAATTTAGAGGCAGGAAGTATTCACAAAGCAGTTAGTGCCTCCAACTTTGCTGATGAGGTCATTTTAAGCCACAGTCATACTCAGTTGCAAATCTTATTTGGCAGAATATTTTTTCCATATTTTTTATTGGTGCATTATAATTATACATAATGGTGGGATTCATTGTTACATATTCACACATGCACATGAGGAATTTTTCTAAGTATTTTCCCAATGTTCTGAATTTAAGGCATCACTCTTCATTCCACACTCAAGGATTCCTTTTTCCTACAGTACAGCTGATCCTGTGTGTATGACAAGCTCAGTTTGTCTCACATTTCCCCACACCCTTCATTTTACTACAATTTTACTGTTCACCTGAAGTTCCAAATTAAGTCGACTTTTTCTACTACCAACAGCGATCAGGTGTTTTAAAAGGAAGAAGAGCTGATCACCGGGGCACACACCTGTGAACACAGCTACTCTGGAGGCTGAGGCAGGAGGATCACAAGTTGAGGCCAGCCTGTGCTACCTAGTGAGACCCTGCCACAAAACAAAATTTTAAAAGGGCTGGGAAGTGGAGGGGAGGTATAGCTCAGTGGTAGAGCCCTTGCCTCCCAGGGGAGAAGCCCCCAGAAATTAAAATTTAAAAAGAAAGAAGACAAAAAGATTCTTCAAAAAGCACATTGCCTTTCCTTTTATTCCCTACCTCATTCCTTTAAGAAACATCCAAATAAAGTGCTTTCTTACTTTACTCTCTAACTTTTGCAGCAAGGTAAGAATTGGAGTGAAGCAGAACTGAGCCAGTGTTTTCAGTAGAGTAGCTTGTTTTGGCTTTCCATCATGGAATCAGCAAAAATCTTCAACTCTTGACCCCCATGCTCTGTTTTTTAACAGAGTAAATAAAGGAAACATTTCCATTGGACCAGGGCACAAGGTATGTTTCCAGAAACAGGTTATTATCTCTCCTTACTAGTTCCAAGAGTGGAGATGACCCTGCAGAAATTAGACATGATTGCAAGAATAGCCAGTTACCCTCTGGGTTAACTCTCTCTTTCCTCTAACCAACAACAACAAAAAGAATGACCATTTACTGAGCACTTACTATGTGGCAGATTTCCATGCTAGATATTTCCTTGTTCTTTCTAACCAGAAAAGTAAGCATTATTATTCCCATTTTATAGAAAGGCTCAGAGACATCAAGTACTTGCCCCAGTATAAACACTACAAAGCAATAGATTCCAAATTCAGTACAGTTGGGTCTAACTCCAGCTGACTAGATAAAACAATTCAGGGCTTAGACACCTCCTGCCTTGGCAGGGACTCTTGGAAAGCTACAAACAGATTAGATTGGCCTCAGATCCACCCCAGATCTGAGAAGCCTGCTGCTCCTTGAGCTACTCATCTGGCTTAAGAAGCCAGCAGCATCAGGCTTATATTCCTTCCCCACAGCAGGAGCTAAACCTCACAGCATTTCACAGCATTAAAGTGAGACTGCTCAGAAGATAGAGTTGTTACAACAGACATAAATTTTTTAAGTTTTCAAAAAAAAAAAAAGTTACAGATTTCCAGGGTCAGGAAGAGCTGATTTTATTTGTATTCACAGTTTCCGTACCAAGGCCTGTGTGACACTGCGTGCAGTTCCCAGGCCCCCAGCTCCAGTGTTACCCCACCCCCTTTGGTCAGCAACCACACCTCAATGGTGCACCATCCGGTGACCCTAGAACCCAGCATGGGCCCAGCACTGGCTTGCCTGGGACAGTGACCAGAGACCAACCAGAGCTACACAAAGAGAGCCTTCACTCTCTTGCTCCTCCCACTCACTGCCAAGGGTGGAAAACAAGGCACTTTGGGCTGGGGTGAGAAGACCTAGAGGAGATCAGCAGGTGCCACACTTGAGACAATGAGCTTTACATTTCCAGAGCTGGCTCCTCCTGGTCAAAACAACATTTAACCCAAAGGCAAAGGGCAACCCGCTGAGAAACGAATCCCGACAGGAACATCCAAGAGGTGGACAATTCTGGAAATGCAAGCTGTAAAGGGTCCAAGAGTGAGTTCCTTCACCCCATCCAAGTGGTGAGCAGCTAGCTTCCTGTGGGGTCAGATCACCGGACCCCCTGTCTCCCTTATTATTTCATTCCACACAGGCCAAGGGGACTGAGGGGCCCATCCCCACCCCCCCGGCCCCACCTCACTTGCCTTTTCTATGATACTGTCTTCCTATACAAAACCACTTTAAAAACTGAAGAAAGCCAGGGCTGGGGATGTGGCTCAAGTGGTAGCGTGCTCACCTAGCATGCATGAGGCACTGGGTTCAATTCTCAGCACCATATAAAAATTAAAAAAAAAAAAAAGATATTGTGTCCACCTAAAACTAAAAAATAAATATACAAAAAAAAAAGTAATGAAAATCTAATTCAGCTAAGACATTTCAAATCACTGGTTGCTCCTCCTGGACCAAAAACAAACAAACAAAACCTGTGCCTGGTGCACATCTAGACAATTCAACTGGAGTTTTTAATTAATTAATTTTAATTAAGTATATACGACAGCAGAATGAATTTGATTCATTGCACAACAATTCAGCTGTTTTTAAACCCATCTATACTTTATCACTCTATTTTCCACAGAGTTTGTTTGTATTTATTGTAATCCACTGTGGACACTCTGTGACTCTCCTATGAAAGGCCAGAATTTCTAAACATGAACACCCGAGACAACACACCCATCCTTTGTCTCTGCCATCCTCAGAGCTCAAGCGAACCTTCTGGGGCTTCTAGGAGAATGTGAGGAAAGTAATAAACAGCAAGTGGCTGGGAAGAGGTCTTCTGAATTCCACCACCCAGTTCATCATACAGCTTTGGCCTCCCCTTTGGAAAGGTGCACAGAGATCTGACCACGAGAAGGGGCGCCTGCGCCTTACAGGGCAGGAGGCTGTGTGTGTGTTCCGTGGGACACTTTGTGGCTGGAATCAAAATCTCCAGGCCCAGATTCTTGTCTGGAAATTAGTAGCTTTTTTCACTCACACAGACATACCCCCCGCCCTTTGAATTCTCTATATTTTTACAATCAACCACAAACTCTGCCCTTTTGAAATCCTGGGAAATGATGCCCACCTCTCCTGTGCCCTCACCTCATTGGGGTCACTGTGAGTGAGAAGCCTCCTAGTGTAGAGTAAGCATCATAAGTGACATGGACATATACAGAACTCTGACGTCTTCCAACCCTTCAAGTGCATGATTGCATGACCAAATCTGCCACTTTGAGAATGGGAATCCCTTGTCCCAGGAAAGGGTGACTTTATACCTAACCCATATCCAGATCAGTTTCTGCTCACTGATATGTACACACTCCAACAAGAACTGCTGCTCTTAAAATCCACATCTTCTGTAAGGATTTAGATGTGCTAATAGAATCAGCATGGGTGGGGAAAAGGAAATGGAGATAAATGAAATCAGCAAAGAGAGCAGAGCTAGAAGCCTCCACCACTGCTTGTTAAATCAAGCCTTGGGTGTAGGTGTGATCAGCAAAGCTGAACAAGCACGTGACATTTCCTTGACCTAGCCTCTCCCTCCATCCAATCCAGTACCCAACCACCTTCTCTTCAACACTCAGGACTCATTGCTGGGTTCCTCTACTCTAGGAAACACCAAGGTTTCAGTGCCTTCTTACTGTGTGCACAACCTGAGTAGCTTTTTAGATGAGCACACACGCCACATACTCTCTGTACATTCAAAGCAGACACTGCCTCCCTTCCCCATGCCGCTAAGGCCCACATAGTGCCTGGTGCACATGCTAAATGAGCATTGATTACACTTAATGAACATCACTTTTTTTCTCTTTCGTCATATATTAACAGGTTCTCAATCTTGGCTGTACATAAGAGCTGTACAAATCAACCCAGGAGCTTTCAAAAACATCTTTCCCTGGCCTGATCCCCAGAAACTTCTGATTCTATTATCTGCTGTGGAATCTGAATATAAGGGTTCTAAAAGAAATTCCACTGTGTGGCCTGAATGGAGAGCCACCATGCAATTCTCTTCTGTCCTTCTGGTCTCTCCCTTTGTTTTGGCTACCCTCAAACCTTAAAATCTTCTTTTTCTTTTTCTTTTTACTTGTTTCCTCGTGCGGTGCCCTCCACCCCCAACATTACTGAGCCCTCTGTTTAAACTTGTCATCAAATAGGAGGGGATCTCTTATGCCGTCAATTGCCTCGAGGATTCTCTTGGCTTCCTTTCACATTTATCTTGAACTTGAGGAAGCAGCAACCACAAGATTTGAATTTGAGATCCATCAGGTTCTCAGAGTTGGGCTGTGTATAGAAGGCTTACCCAGCAGAATGAGCATGACTCCTGCCAGCTGGGCCCGCCGGTACTTGGCCACACCAGGCTCATGGCCCATTCGGATGCAGGGGAGAACTGTCAGCAGCAGCAAAATGGCCGGCAGACCCAGAACTGAGGCGGCGATCATTAGGGCCCGGCAAGCCTGCACGTAGCCTAGGAACAAGAGAAAAGATAGGGTAGATTAGATCAAGGGTCCTCTTGGTTCCTGAGGCCCACCTGACATGAATTTCTTTCTTCTTCTCACCCCATTCCAAGATTTGAAATAGGCTAAATGTTTCCCAGGATAACTTCACACCTTCAACTTCAACTTTCACAGCAACTTGGCAACAAAAAACGGGGGTTAGAGAAATGGAATGGATGTTCCTGGTTTAGATCATTTGGTCAAGCTTCCAGGATGGAGGGTCCAGAGCCTATTTACATTATTATAACACCTTGTAAAACTCTGGTGGAAATTCAAATCTTCAAAGAAGTCTTCTGCAGTGGTCTGTGTGGGTTCCAGTCTTCTGTTGATCTGCTCTACCTAAGTCACTTTGGGAAAGTTACTTAACTGCTATGTTCTCACTATAGAATAAAAAAATCAAAAAAGTGCCTACATCTCTCTGATAGAATTCTACAGAAAAGTAATTAATTCATACGGTGCTTAAAACAATTCCTATTCTGAGTACTGAAAATAGTTAGCCATTATCATTTGTGTTACTACTTTTATCTGCATATACTGACTGATTTCATGCCTAAACATCTGCTTTTAATTCACTTTGGATATGAATCGTATGTGGCCCTGAACTAGAGTAGTTTAAGATTCAGGCTTCTTTTCTCCACAACCTCCTCAGAGGATGCTATCCTCGTGACTCCAGCCCTCTATAGATGTTCAGGCTCCATCCTGACCCACAGTGCTCTGAACATGCTTCCCCAATTGTCTGTCCATCGTTGTCTTAAAGTGATCTCTCCAGCCCTGGGGATTTCTGGAGGCCAGACACCTGCCTTGGCTTTCATGTGACCACAAATGATGACGTAAACAAAAAAATTACAAATGAAAGAATAAGTGGATTGAATAATAAGGAAGTAGAACAAAGCTATCTAAACTCTATACTGTCAAGTAAAATGCCAAGTAACAACTTTATTAAGAAACAGATTATAATATGTATAATTATTTATGTAGAATAAATATGGCAAGGTGCTGGGAGAAATTCACAAACTTAAATTTACTGTTTCATTCTTAAATTTATTTCTCATTAAAACACTCCTCCCCCCCCCCCCCCCCCCCCCCCGCGCAAAAAAAGTGGCATTCATGTCCCTCCTTTTTATGCTCAAACTTAACTAATCCTCACACACCAGGCCCCCCACACCAAATCCAGCCAGCCCGCCTTGTGCACCAAGACCCAACTTTAGCACTGTCTCTTAGCAAGGTATATTTTGCCAGAGTTCAGATTCCAGAAGAGCTCTCTTACAGCCACTGCCCATGTCAGCTTCTTTGGAATTAAAAATAATTCATTAGGTATCTATTGACATGAAGACTCTCAAAGAAGAGCCAAAGAAGTCTAAGGCCCAGCCTCTTCCTGCCCTTTCAATCTGTAGGAGAGGCAGGAAAGACACAAAGGAGGTAGTCAACTAGCAACAGAGGTTCTGAAATTCATGGCACAGGCTGTCCACGTGCTACAGTGACAAGGCCATTTCCAGAAGTAAAACATGGAGGCTGAGGACATCCCCGCCCCCAACAAAAGTATAAGGGGGGCAGAGATCAGGAAGGGTTAAGCCCTCCCCATAATATTTTCCACCCTGGAGAATGGCCCATGTTCTCTGAAAACAAACCACTTGGCACTGAATGCTCAGTAAAGTTAACTCCACGGGAAGCAGAAGAATAAATTTATCGTTCGGTCACAGGTCCTTAAAAATTCCATGCCCAGATTTTAATAGCTACCCTTAATGGAACATCTATTACACAAAAGAAAGTTTACATTTCTTGTCTCATTTAATCCCTAAAGCAATCTTAAAAGATAGATAGTTGATTGTATTTTAACTTTTAAAAGACGACAAATGGGGATTCAAAGAGGTTAACAACTTTTCTCTAATCACCCAGATTGTGAGTGTTGGGATCAGAACCAGCATTAACTGACGCTGGATCCTGATCAGGGTTTGCTGGCCTCTTCAGTCTTTCTGAAAGGGTAATGAAAGGCAGACATAATGTGCACTGTGCACACCTATCATGTGCCAGAGGTGATAGCCAGGTTAGGAGAGGATGCAAAGACGGTAGGAGAGAACTTACAACAATAAAAACAAAACAAAACAGAAAAGTGACGTTATAAAGATAAGCCAAGTATTAGGGCACCAAAGAAGAAGGGAGATTTATTCCAATTGCCAGGACTGCGAAATAGGGCCAACTTGGGGTACTAACGGGATGCAGAATTTCTGAACGTCAAAGACTTCTCGGAGAAGGCACAAAGTGAACCTCCTAGAAGGGTGGCTTCAGAGTCAGGTTTCTCTCAGTCTGAAAGAAGCCAGCGCAGAATTCACAAAGGCTCCAGGGGACAGTGGAAGAGCCAGGTGAAGAATGAGCCCGCAGGGCAGGGCAGATTTCTAGCAGAAAACTTGAGGGGGCGCGCGTGGCCTCGCTATTCATTCAACTTAGCTTGTAGTTATTTCGAAATTCAAATTTGCCCAAAATTTTCCCACAGGACTACAAAGGAAGATGGGGCTCCCAGTGGGAGTGGGAGAGGCGGAGGCTGGTCAATTCTTCCCCCTGCTCTCCACTCACAGCTGCAAGCCAGAAGTAATGACTTTTGGCGGCGCTCAGAGTTTCTTGCAATGTAGTCTGTACTCTTCCCATCCAACTGGAGGGTCATGGAGCAGGGGAGGGTGTCACCGCAGCGTCGCTGTCTGACTCCTCCATAGCAGAGGCAGAGATAGGGTAGAGTAGATAAAATAGACCCTGGGGACTGAGAGAATCAACCTGGGATTTGCTAAACTGGGCAGCCCAGAGACATCCTTAGTGAACTTCTTGGCGACAGGGCGGGTGGGCGGGTGGAGCTAGGAGCTAGGAGCTCCCTAATCTCTCCAGTGCGCCTGACCCATCCCGGGAGGACTGAGAAACAGCCCGCACCTGTTTGAATCGCTCCAGTGCGTGCGTTTCACTCTTTCCTCCTCGCTTCTGCAAGAATCTTAACTGGCAGCCCCGAGCCAGTGGGAAGAGTCTGGGACCAGGACAGTAAAGTACTTCTGGTCAAGTGACCATGGGAGCAATGGAGGGGTGGGACGGTGGGAATCCACTTGGTCTGAGTCCCTACTCTGTGTCTGTATCTCAGTTCATTAAATTCTTAAAGCGGCTGGACCAGCGTTGCCACTGGCCAAATTATCATTATTATCCCAAATTCTAGATAAGAAAATTGAGACCGAGAGGGATTAAGTTTAGAACTGCCTAAATCTACATCAGGGTGGGAGTTGGGGATGTAAAAAAAAAAAAAAAAAAAAAAAAAAAAAAAAATGAGCCCAAAGGTCCTTGAGCCCCCAAATGTTTCTGTGAACTCTGTCTGCTGCCCGCTCTCTGGTCTACGCAGAGAATGTGAGCTTAGAAAGCAGCGCTTGCACAGTGGGGGTCCTTACCCGGCAAGATGAGGATGTCCACCAGGGGCTTGCAGTGGTACAGCCCCGTGGCCATGACGCAGTCAGCCCACAGCCCCTTGGAACCCAGTTCGTCCAGCTTGCGGCAGGTAGGGATGGTGTAGCCACAGGTCACCACCCAGTCATTGGTGGATGTGGTGACGATAATGCCGATCCAGCCCACGAAGCTCGTGACGAAGCCCACCACTTGCAGGCACGTGGCCACCATGGTGGCCACCTCGACGTCCACGCGCCTCGACCCTCACTGACTGCGCCCGGACTCCGGGCTGGACAGCGCCTGCCCTGGTAGGTACTCCCTGTGCTGAACTGGCCAGCCGCTTGCTGGCGATCGCCCGAGGCTGGACCCTCGAGGTGGAGTGGGCCGCTCGAGACTGCGAGCCCAGCACGGACCACGCGGCGGCGGCGGGCGCACAGCTGAGACAGCGACGGACGAACTGCTGGGACAGCAGCGCTGCTGGGTGGCGCGCCCCCGCCCCCCTCTTTAAACCCCGTGGCTTCGACCGACGAGCGCCAATCCGCGACCGCCCGGGGTCGAGCCCGCCAATCGCCGGGCGGGGTCCAAAGCAGGGTGTGGAAGGGAGCCGGGTAAAGGGAGGGGGGCCGTCTCCTCGCCCGAGTGACACTCGATCCGTGTTGGAAAGTAAAATAATTCCATCCTGGTCTGAGACGTGGAGAGCGGAAAGAGGGCTCTTTCTGTTCTGCTGCGAATTGTTTCTCTTCTTGCCACCCCTCTCTCATCTCTCTGGGTCTCCGTTTCGCTCCATCCCTCCTCACCTTCTACCCACTCAGCTGTGAGTACACCCAAGGTCCCAAGTACAGTTCTCCCATAGCCCAGGATCGCAACTGATAACTACCCAAAAGTTCAGAGGTGACAAATTCAGCATACTATGGGTATAGTGAGGGAGGGGGGAAATGTATACATATTATATGTATATTATATACATATAATTTTATACATATTATATATATACACATACATATATGTACATGCATTTTACATATTTTAGCTCATTTATTCTCACAAAACCTTTGTGGTTAAAAGTAATTGTCAATTACACATAGAAGAAAGCACAAGATGAAGGCTAAGTGGCCCCAAGTTCACCCAGCTGGCAAGGAGAAGACTCCAAGGTCCCATCTCACCTCCCTTACTAACCATTCCTGGGAGGAAATCCTGCCGGATCATCAGTTTCTCAGAATTGATTAATTTATTTATTATTTATTTATGTTCTCTCTCTCTCTCTCTCTCCCTCCCTCCCTCCCTCCCTCCCTCTTTTGGTACCTGGTATTGAACTCAGGGTCAGTAAACTACTGAAAATTTCTAAAGGGCTTAAGTGTCCCATTTCTGATGCATTAAAAGACAGGCTAACACTTCAGTTTACTGTGGAAAAGTTAATATCTGTACCCCACTGAGAAAACTGCCTAGACCAGACTGAGTGTACAAAGTGTAAGCCACAGAGTCCTAGTCATCACCAGCAAACAGCCACCTTCTCTCCTACATTCAAATAAGGACCCTTACCTGTGCATTTTATCATGCAGCAAAGTTCTCCTTGAACTATGTTTAGATTAAACAGTTTTAACTCTCTCTCTCTCTCTCTCTCTCTCTCTCTCTCTCTCTCTCTCTCAAATGTTTGACTTATTTTATTGTATCTCTTGATCCATTCATTTGGACCACAGCCTCCTCATCAATTATGCAATTTAAAGGTGTGAAGTAGGGCTGGGGATGTGGCTCAAGCGGTATTGCGCTCGCCTGGCATGCGTGCGGCCCGGGTTCGATCCTCAGCACCACATACAAACAAAGATGTTGTGTCCACCGAGAACTAAAAAAAATAAAATAAACATTAAAAAATTATCTCTCTCTCTCTCTCTCTCTCTCTCTCTCTCTCTCTCTTTAAAAAAAAATAAAATAAATAAAGGTGTGAAGTACAGTAGAATGAATCAGACATAACTTTCCTAGGTTCATATTTGAGTATACAACCAGTGAAACTCATCATGTACAACCACAAGAATGGGATCCTAATTAGAATGTTATACTCCATGTATGTATAATGTATCAAAATACACTTTACTGTCATGTATTTCTAAAAAGAACAATTTTTTTTTAAATGGCGGAGTGGCACTAAAAAATAAATAAATGGCTGTGAAGGATTTTGGCAAACACAAAAACGTCCTGCTCAAGTATTCGAGAATCTCAGATGCTTAGGATTTATTACGGATTATATTCTTTGGAATAATCATATTGTCTAAATAATGAAAAAATAACAGACATGGATCACAAATTACAGGTACTGAGCTTCCCATAGTCATTCCTAATGCTGGTATCATTGCAAGTCACCATATTTTCTAGGAAAGTCTGTCCTTAAGAGACAATTACATTTCTGTGGTGACCACAAAGAAATCAACTGCACAAACTGAAATGGCTCTATAATAGATGCCTAGTGCAAGGGCCAGAATGATCACCCAGAAAACAGGGACTACAAACATAGGCCAGGCTGCTGAGTTCAAATCCTGACTATACTACTTACTGGCTGTGAGACCAAATTACTTCACTTTGGGGGTTTGTTTTTGTTGTTTGGTTTTTGGTCTTCTTTACTCATTTGTAAAATGGGGGTCAAAATAGTTCCTACCTCATAATTTTCCTAATGATTATGTAAGTTTTTATCCAGACAGGGCTTATAATAATGTCTGCTACAAGATAAATCCTCAATAATCCTGGGCTATTCTAAATAGAACATGATGCTTCAGAACTCTTGAATTTGTACCTATGTATTCTCCCTACATTTATTTAAGTTTGATTTGTGGCAACTATTTTATAAATAGATATCTCCTTTTTGATAGTGAGCCATTGGGTTTGGGGAGTATTTCATCACCTGTCTATTAATCTGGATGCTTCCAGATATTTCCTTATAACATTCAAAAATATCTTTTGTACTAAGTACAAGATAAAATATAAAACCCAAGCAACATCAATTCATCACAAAAAGACTGATAAAATATGCACTCTTATGATTCTATTAACATTTGATATTCATGAAAATTCAACCAATCATATCTAGCAATGCCCAGGTAACTGACAGGTTACACGCAGCATAGATGTTTTTGTAAAGCCAGATTTCAGAACTCAGGCACTAAGTGGTAAAGAGAGTTGCAAATTGTTGAGATTGCTATCTTGGAGTGGAACTTCCTGGGTTCATATTTCTATCTTCACCCCTCAGTTTGTTCCTTAACCTATGTGACTCTCAGATTCTTCACTCTAGAGAATAGCAATGGGAGGATTAGGCAAGCTAACTTACACAAAGTATTTAGCACAGTGCCTAGTACCGATGGACATTCATTCATGTTAGCTACTATTTATATTATTTATTGGTAATACAAGTTTGATAGAGTCGAAAGCTAAATAATCAGGTTATTATTATTATTACTATTATTATTATTATCATCATCATCATCTAATGAGAGAGATTATCAGTGTCTAAACAATCCCAACATAGATATACAAAATGCCACCCATGGAAGGCCAGTTTATAATTAGTTGGAATAAATTAGCCATAAGTAAAGAGAGGGCATATCCATTCAAATGGAAGTCAGAACCACACTGAAGCACTGAAAACTGGGAGCCACGAGGCAGATAGAAGCTGTGAGAATCCATAGGATTTCCTGTCCACAGGAGATGGTCTTGTGGCCCACAGATTCAGTACGCAACCCCATGGCAAGGCTTGCTGAATCGTGGGGAAGTCCCTTGAATTGCCTTAGCTGAGGTCTTGCACCCTCATCCACATTCCTTAATTGGGACTTATTCCTGACGCTCTTCTTACGATGCTTCTAACTTCCCACGTAGCATGATTTAAACTGACATTCCTGGTCCAGGGTCCTTTAAGTTGTGAGAGTGAGTCTCTTGGGGCCTAAACACCCCAGACAAGAGTCAACAGTGGGACCCCAGACCATCCAGACAAAGGCCTTCTTAGTTAATTTTCTCTTGGAAAACTCCATCACGCCACCTCTTCACATTTCTACAATATACAAACAGTACTAGAAAGATGTGGATGACACTTAATTTCAGCCCAATATTCTTTCCATTATGAAAAATGTAAGAAGAGTCTTTCCTATGGCTCAAGCAGAAGAAACTTGATTTTATTCTTTTTCCCCAGATATTTGAAGGGCAGGATTAGAGGATCATGGCATGAATGCCCTAAAATACAGATGTGTACTGAACAAAAGAAATGACCAGGTTAAAAGTTCTATCATTTTCATCTAAAAATAGTCAACCAAACTAAAGTGCAATTCAATTAGAACATTAACTCATGTTCAAGCCAAATAGCTTTTGAAAGCAGCAAAAGCCACCCTGAAAGCAAAACTTGAGCCAAAGGAGTGTGCTCTCAGCGCCTACTAGTGGTTATCTTCTAGCATTGCATACCTGTAAAAAAAAAAGTTTTCTGTGTAAAGGGAGCTGTGATTTGTAGAAAAACATGATTAACCTCAACTTCACACATGCTAAATAGTGATAATTAGGCTTAACTATAATATGCATTTCTTTGTGACAGGTTTCTTTATATATTAAAAAATATGCATCTCTTTAGTAACCAAACATAAAAACACAGGATGTATATGAAATTACTTAGGTAAGATTATTCCTTTAAAAATCAGGTACTTTTAGCCAGGCACGGTATCACATGCCTGCAATCCCAGCATCTTGGAAGGCTGAGGAAGGAGAATCACAAATTAAAAACCAGCCTCAGGGGGCTGGGAGGTAGAGCGCTTGCCTCTATTGTGGCTCAGTGGTAGAGCGCTTGCCTCGCATATATGAGGCACTGGGTTCAATCCTCAGCACCACATAAAAATAAATACGCAAAATAAAGATATTGTGCCTATGTATAACTAAAAAATATTTTTTAAAAAACCAGCCTCAGCAAATTAGTGAGATCCCATCTCAAAGCTCAGTGGTTAAGCACCCCTTTTGATACCAGGTTCAATCCCTGGTATGTATGTACATACATACATACATACATACATACATACATACAAAAATGTCAGGAGTTTTTAATAGAATTTTTTTCGGTGTTTGGTACCAAACCTAGGGCCTTTTGCATGGTAGGCAAGTGCTCTACCATTGATCTATAACCCCAATCCCCAAAGGATTTCTTTTCAACAGATAGATTCCTCTGGTAGATTTTAAGTATTTGATAATGCAGAAATCCCACATAACATCATTTT